TAGGGGCTGAGACAGAGGATCATTTTCCCCGTATTGTTATTGTGTGATGGAAACTTGAATGGCTTGATGGAGAGGGCTAAAGAACTGCAGCTGGTTGGCGGGGTGTAGGTGGGCAGATGTGATAATTCCGTTGAGGTATCTCACTTATTCTTTGCGGATGACACGTTATTTTTGCAGCCAAAAAAACAATACTACTGCATCTTAAGTCATCCTTTCTTTGCTTCCAAGGCATTTCGGGACTCAACGTTAACTTATCTAAATCGGAATTAGTAAGGATGGGAAGTGTGGGTGATGATAGCAGTTTGGCTAAGATACTTGGTTGTAGAACTTCGCAGCTCCCCATAAAATATTTGGGGATGCCGTTAGGGGCGAGATACAAAAATAAACAAACATGGGAACCGGTGGTTGAAATGTTTGAAAACCGGCTTGCTACTTGGAAGAGGAATTTCTTATCAAAAGGTAGAAGATACACTCTAATCAAAGTACACTTGCTAATCTGCCAATATACTATCTTATTACCCTAACTATACCGGTTAGCATTGCAAAAAGATTGGAATCAATTCAATGTCGCTTCTTATGGGGGAACGGTATTGAGAAAAAGAAAGTATCACTTGGTGAGATGGTCGGAAGTTAAAAAACCTCATATCATGGGCAGTTTGAATATTAGATCTTTGGTTCATACGAATAGGGCTCTTCAAGGCAAGTGGCTGTGGATATTTTTTAAGGAAGAGGGTAGATTTTGGAGAAAGGTTATTGTTGCTAAATGGGGCAGGCTTGATTTTGCTGAGGAGGGTTTCCATGACTGCAGGGGCCATGGCCTGGCTTTATGGAAGCATATCAAACAGGACTGGCCGAGATTTAAAGAGTGCATCAATTGGAAACTGGGTAGGGGAAACTGTATTAGGTTTTGGCATGATGAGTGGCTGGATGGGGGTTGCTTGAAAACCAGATTCCCTAGAATATATGCCATTGCACAATCTAAAAACATGAGAGTTGAGGAGGCGTATGCAACGGAAAATGGAGGTTTGTCTTGGACAGTGAACGTCTCTAGAAATTTAAATGATTGGGAGGTTTTTGATTATGAAGAGGTCTTGAGATTGGTCTCACAATGTCAAATTAGTGGTGAAGCAGACTTGATTCTTTGGAAACCATCCAAAAAAAGTGAATTCACGGTTGATTCGCTTTATCGGCAGCTGGTGGGGACTGAGCAGGAAAACATTCCCCTTTTCACTTCAAGACAGATTTGGAATTCCAGGGGCCCGCCTAGAATTGCTCTTTTGGCGTGGGAGGCTTGTAGAGGAAGTATTTTGACACTTGATAAGCTGAAGACTAGAGGCCAGATTGTGATTAATGGGTGTTTTATGTGCAAGAAGGCTGAGGAATTCTGCTGCCACTTAGTTCTTCACTGCGAGGTGGTTCACGAGTTATGGTGCCAGATTTATAGACTGATTGGAATCAATTGGGTCATCTCTGGTTCGGTTTTTGATGAGATGTGGGCTTGGAGTGGGATTGACCTGAAAAAGAATATTGTTAAAATTATCCCTTTAACCTTTTTTGAGTCATTTGGAAAGAAAGAAATAAGAGGGCGTTTGATGGTATTGAGAGGAATATTAGTAGACTAAGAGAAGTATGGTTTAATTATTTTGGTAACATTGTGTTGGGTTATGAGATCATTAGAGATGAGGATTTTGAAGATGTTATTGACACTCTAACAACTTTGTAAATTTGTATATGGGTGGTACCCCATTGGTACCCTATTTATATATATTTACACTTTTTATATGTGTGTATATATATAATGCTTCTAACACCTAGAGCCTTTTCTTTTTGCCAGTACGAGTTACTTGATGAAATTATGGACTTTGGTTTCCCTCAGTACACTGAAGCAAAGATCCTTAGCGAGTTTATAAAGACTGATGCATATAGGATGGAAGTTGCTCAACGTCCTCCCATGGCTGTTACAAATGCAGTGTCATGGCGTAGTGAAGGCATACGCTATAAAAAGAATGAGGTAGGTTGTTATGCGTCTTATCTTTATAGTTTATAAGCTAAATGTTATGAAGCTTTCTTTATGTTTAATCAGGTTTTTTTGGATGTGGTGGAAAGTGTCAATATTCTTGTCAACAGCAATGGGCAAATAATTCGTTCAGATGTTGTTGGAGCTCTAAAGATGAGAACATATTTGAGGTGCATGGCTTATTTCCTGTTGGTAACTTTATCTTGTTAACAATCTTTGGAAATGGCATTTGGAAAAATTAGTTGCTCTTGATGCAATTATGCCATATCTGTTTCGACATAACAGCTATACCGTTTTGTTCTTAGGTGTATAAATTTAGCTGCCAAATAAAAGCCCATTGAGCTCTTAGGTGCTAATTGGTAGAATCTGTTACATACTGAAAATGTTATAGCTTACTTAATGGAATAAATTGGCTGATAATTTGAAATAACTCAAATCTTTTATTGATTTCTATAGTGATCCTCATATGCTTTGAAGTGGCATTCTTAATAGGGTATCTTGAGTTGAGCCTTTTTTACTTTCCATTCACTATGAATGGAGAATGGCTCTGATCTCTGCGTTCTGCCTGAAAAACTCTGTTCACTTCATCGTTTGTGAAAAAGAAACAGTGAAACACATCAATAATCATATAAAACCTATTTAACTTATATACTCTTTCAAGTAGAAGCTTCGTAAGTATCCAGTCAGGATGAGGAATGAAATTTTTGGTGGAGTGAGGGCATAGAACAAGAGAAAATAGACTTTTTAAAAAATTGTATACTCCTGAGATATCAGTTCCTTTGGTATTAGTTATTGGTTGGTAACATTATTGATAAGTAGTAGCAATTGGCTTGCATAAAGAGTTCTTTCCTTAGTGAAAATTTTGCATGTGGTTGTTCTTCTTATGATTTACACTTCTTATAACAGTTTGTTTTCATGTTTGTTCTTCATACACTTATACATCTTATAATAGATCCTACTAACCATACTTCATTTCTTACAGTGGTATGCCTGAGTGTAAGCTTGGCCCTAAATGATAGACTACTATTGGAAGCCCAAGGTCGGGCAACAAAGGGGAAAGCCATTGACTTAGATGATATCAAGTTTCACCAGTAAGCTGCTTTCTTTTTGCTAATCTCCGAATCTTTGCTTCACTGTGCTTTATCTTTTAGGAGTTGTGTATTTCATGGATTTGACAATGCCCTACTGGCATCACTTATTTGGGTATCTCTTTCTTGGTAAGAGATTCTCACCACAGGGATAAGTGAATTTATTCTGAGCATAAAGGCTCGGTATCCAAATACCTAACTTTAGTTCGGATGTAATTATTCATGGGTGTTCTAACAATTAACTTTATTGCCTACTATAAATCTTTGAATGGTTATGCTTCAAATAAATTCAATATTATGCTACTAAAAAGCTTTTATACAATTGTAGTTTACTAGATAGTTACTTTACTATCTATCTTCACAAATAAAACATAAAGAAAAAAAAATATTTTCATCCCAAAAGAGAACAGAAATGGGGATTCTTTTGCTTTGTTAATATAAAAAAAGTTTCTACTTTTTTGCAATTACTCAAAACAGTAAGGTGTTCATCTCTTTTAGTATAAAAAAGTAAGGATATTTTGAGGTAAAAAATTTGAAGATACTTCGGAATGCAAGATTGCCACCTCTTATGGTGGGTTTGAGATTCTCCAGGCATTTGGTAATCTAATATTTGATAATCAAGGAATCTTAGGCATCTTTGAAGTAGATATTGATTTTTTGTGCTTCCACAGGCATGAGATATTCTCTGAAATATCCATGGAAGTAAACAAAGTAGACACACCGTTAATTATTCTTCTTCTATTCCATGAATGTGGTAATTTCTTTTTTGGTTAATATTGAAATATGGTTCTGCTGCTTGATATTCTTGTACCAAATGTTATTTTTATGTTCCAGGTGTGTACGGCTGGCTCGTTTTGAAAATGATAGGACAATCTCTTTCATACCTCCTGATGGATCATTTGATCTTATGACATACAGACTCACTGCTCAGGTTGAAAAACATTTTATCATTTTGCAGTTCTTTCTTTTCTCCAATGATGTATAAGATCTTTTTAAATGCAACTTGTAACTTACCTTATCTTAGACTTCCTTATATACAATTTAAGTGAGCTTGATTTTGTGAAATTTTAGGTGAAACCACTAATATGGGTGGAAGCTCAGGTTGAAAAGCATTCTAGAAGTCGTATTGAAATCATGGTAAAAGCTCGTAGTCAATTTAAAGAACGCAGGTAACAATCTTTTCATTTTCATTCAAGAATTTCAAGTCTTCTTTTTTCCTTGGGTTCTTTTCTGGGGCTGGGGGATTGGGATTGTCACAATCGAATTATCCTTGAGAATAAAATATATAATTTACAACTAAAGATTTTTAAGGTTCTAGTTGCTACATGAAAACATTTTCCAGTTTTCATTTCGGAAATTTGTGTTTATTTGTGAAAACCCATATGGAAATGTGTTTGGAGTAATCACATATAGATAAAAAAGCTTTGTCCTAGAAAAAGTAACAAACGGTTTTTTAACTTGCTTGTTTGCTTTTTTATGCAAAGCATATGTGAATTTAGAAAGTAGAAACTAAAGAATATTTTCATGAAGTATATGAACTCCGAGTTTCATCTTTTTCTCACGTCTCTACCAATAAGGGATAAAAAAATGTTGTAGAAAAAGTGAGAGGACGAACCATTACTTTTTGTTTTTGCTTTACTAATTTTTTATTTATATAAAACAAGTGAAAGAATGGAG